ACCGGTTCAACGCATTGATTGCATCCATGTTCTATTGAACTAGGTGTTTACGTCAACCCATCCAAAATATGTTGAACTATTTCAATAACAGACAACAGGAAGATCGCTGCCGATCACCACAGTGGCATGGCATGCTATTTCGACTTCAGAGTCGGACACTTCGTTTATCAAAGTACCCTTGATGACTTGTCACAATGATTTGGGACACAGACCCTCATAAACGTGAGCGGTACCTTGACTACTTTTGGCTCAAGATAAATAGGCGCATTGCTAATTTCTGTTCACGGTAGCAGCGCGCTCGGTGCAACTCCGGTAGATGTTTAACCTTTGGACTACCCTTCGGACTCGTATTTGTCAGAGAAGGGACCGTGCTGCATCGAGGGTACTGAGGTTGTGGCGCCGGTTGGTGAATCGGCTGTTCAGGATCCGGAGGCTTCAACGCATCTTCGGAGACCTAGGCCATCAGTTGCAAGACCAGGTCCAGAGTCAGGCATTCAGGCAACGATTGCTGAATTCTCGGTTGACTCGACCGGGAGCAGCTGACCAGTGATGGCAACCCTTGAGCAGATTGCGGCGCAGGTTGTGAGCCTGAGACAGGAGTTGAACGAGAGTCGAAGGAGAGAAGAGGACTTGAACAATAGGCTTCAGGCGGTTGAGAGTACAGGAGCTATGCAGGCGGCTTTGCACGAGATGGTCGACACGCAGAAGGCCATCCTGGAAGCATCCAAGAAGCCAGATAAGAAGTAGACTCTGGTAGACAACCGCGGCTTGGCAAAGCCAAACAACTTTGGCAGTTCGGATTTCCTCCAATGGAAGATCCGGTTGGAAGCCTTTGTTGAGTCCGTTCATGGTGACTTCGGCCAAGCGATGGCTTGGGCAGAAGATGAAGCGGATCCAATCAGCAACGCAACGCATCCATGAATGCCGAGTTTGGTGAGACGACTCCAGCACAGGAGACGATACCAGACCTGGAATCAAAAGATGCTCAACTTTACGCCGTCCTCAAACCCTCTGTGAGAAAGAAGCATTCACGCTCGTAAGAAGCGGCGAGAGAGAAGCTTTTAGGCGATTGCGCCAGCGGTTTGGCCCTGGGACTGGAGGTCGCCGCAGGGCACTTCTTCGTTCGGTGCTGAGTCCGAACCGTTGCAGGTGGAAGAGCTGAGCGCAGCTGTCGAGACTTGGGAGGACCAGGTTCGACAATACGAGAACCGGCGAAAGGCCGATGGCTCGGGACCAACTGTGGATGAGGACATTAAGATCTCCATCTCAGAGTCGATTGTCCGGTTGAAGTTGAACGACATCTTCAACTCAACCAAGCACGCTTTGCAGACTGCCTTGAAGTCCGGAAGGAACTATCCACGTATTTGGAGACACGCATTGGACTGAAGCTCAAGTCCGGTGGTGGTCATTCCAGTTCGGACTACAATGGGCCACAGCCAATGGACATATATGGCGCACTTGCAGGCGGAGACAAGAAGAAAAGAATGCCACATGCCACAACTGCGGCAAGGCAAACTCCAAAGGGATCCCTAAACAAGGCAAAGGGCCGAAGGGCAGTTCGCCCTCCGGTCAAAAGGATTCAAAGGTTCTCCGAAAGGTAAACGAGGAAGCAAAGGAGGAAGAAAGGAGGAAAGAAAGGCAAGGATGGAAAAGGAAAAGGTGAAGGAGGAAAAGCCATAGGAAGCGTTGAGGCTGAGAAGGAACCAGAAGGTGAGGAGCAGGCTGGGTCCGCCGGTTGGGATGAAGGGGGCTCGGGTTGGTATGGTGACTGGACTAAAGACCCGGGCTCAAACCCAGAAGGCAATTCGTTGGTGTTGGGAGCGCTTCATCGTACCCAATCCAACATGGGCAGCAAGCAAGCGACAGCCAGGAGGCTCAGCCGAAGCCACCCTTCACCGAAGTCCAACTTGGCATGGACCTCAAGACTGCCAAACGGCTGACGGCCGAAGATCAGGGCAGATCTCCACTTGCTGACTCCGGAGCTGGCTTGTCTGGGGATCGGTCAGTCGATGTGATGATGGCTGATCGAGGAGAACTGCAAGCTGCGTGACCAGCTCAAGTGGCAGGAGGAGAAGGAGACCCGTGGTCGATGCCACTCGGGACAGTCATTTCATGGGCGTTCATGATCGGCGTTTGTTTTCAATGATGCGCTCCTCCTCCTCATCGGTGGATTCGCGCTTGCTCTTCTTCTTCGGCGAACGTCCGCGCTTCGGCGACAGGAGCGCCAGCGTCGATTATACGAGAAGCGTATAGCAAGATCGTGGACGACACCACGTATCCCAAGTCGGCACCGCCGCAGGTAGACGCTCACCGAAAGGGAGCGTCGGCGTGTTCTTGAAAGAGAAGGCGAAGAAAGACAAGGAGGAGCCTCCAGCCCTTTCGCCGTCCTCGATCCGCCTTGGGGTGAAGTCGATGGAATCCCCAGAAGAGCGAGAGGCGAACAGGCGCGAGCGCGAAGAGGCAGATATGAAACCAATAAAGGTGAAGGCAATGCCAATGAAGAGGAAGGCCAAGCCAAAGGCCACGGACGCCACATCGGATGCAAAGCCGGTGAACGGCGCGCTCGGGACGCTTCGTCGAGGTGCGCTGGCGCCAAACTTGGCGCGGGAGATTGAGAACACGCACGACCAGACCTTCCATGACTCCAGGTACTATGCAAATGTGGCAGGCGGCAAGCCGCATCACATTGCCTGGAAGAACGAGAAAGGCCGACGTCGGGCAATTCTGGACCGGCGTAGTGGCCTGATCGATCGTGCGTCAGAGAAAATCGAACTCGGCAACACGTGGCACTCCAAGAACAGCGCGCAAGGGACTGGAAAGAAGCGTATAAAGATGTTGGTGGCCTCAAGGCCGATGTGGAGACGGAAGTTGTGGACGATCGCAACGACAAGACCAATTAAGCCGATCGAGAGCCTCGACGAATGCATGCCCCTCAGCCGCGAATCCTTCCAGCAGTTCCCGGACGATGAGGCGAAGGTTTTTGAGCGGCCATCGACTCGCAGGGCCGCAGAGCCACGCGATTGTGGCGCGGAAAGGACTACCAAAAAATGCGAGCGGGAAGCGCGCGAAGAGCGGAAGCGGCAGGCCAAGCACGACGCCGATCGAACACGACAGCGACGCCACAGCTGGGACAGCCAGTACAACAGCTGGCGCGAGGATGAAGAGGAGGAGGCGCCCGAAGTCCACGATTTTCGGGTTCGGTCGGAGCCGAATGAGATTCGGGATTCCGAGCTCAATTCGTTCTCGGCACCTCCGAATGCATCGTTCGGAGAGCCGCATGTTGTTGAAGAGCGCGATGGCTGGAAGCGGATCGTGGTGAATTTGGACGCTGGGGTCGCAGCCACCGCCATCCCTTCAGACCTTAATTTGGGGAGACACGTCGAGACTCTACCGCAGGACATCAGCTACAAAACAGGTCAGCTGAGGCGGATGAAGGAGGAGTTGTGCTTCGTGGAACGGACGGCAACGGGACCTTTTGGAAGGCCGGGCCCCAGGCGTTCATCGCGCCCTGGCCTCGGGAGCGAAGCACGTCGCCACCATATCGCCCTCGAGCCCGCGCGGACAGTTGAAGCCGGAAAGGAGTATTCGGCGTTCATGGACAAGCTCTACAAGGAGCATGATGGGGGAATGATTCCGGTGCGAATGCACAATGATTTGGATCGCACCCGGAAAAGGTGAGGGCTCTTTCGGCAGGCCTCCCAATCGGGTGTAAGTCCGGAACTCCAGCTTGGAAGATGACAGGTGATCGTAAAGCGATCGCCTGCGGATCCCACCGCTCAGGAAGTACAGGAACACCGTGCTCAGGAAGTACTGCCAAAGGGCCTGAGTAGCGGGCCCACACCAACATTGTGGACAAGCAGCTCAAGATGAAAGAGGGTAGGATTCCGCACGTTTCACTCGACTATTGCTACATGAATGCCGGGTAGGAAAAGGGAAGTGACCCGGACGGCGGCATCCGTCCGTGTCTGATTAGGAAATGCCACAAAACAGTTAGATACTGGGCAAAAATAGTTCGGGACAAGGGACAGACCTTTTTGCAGTCGAATGGTTGAAAGCAGTCCTGAGATAGGGTAGTATCACGAGCTCGTCCTGAAGAGTGACAACGAACCGGCCATCTTGACCCTGAACGGTAAGATAAAGGAGCAGAGCAAGTTGAGGATCTACGTGGTTGAATCACCTGTGGAAGATCACCAAGCAAAAGTCGTACGGGAGTTGAAGCGACAGGCTAGGGCCATCCTATCCGACTTGCAGGAACGACTTGGGTTTGAGATCGAACCGAGTCATCCACATGCATGGTGGCTGCCACGGCACGCCGCCTACTATCCTCTGACCTGGATGCAGATGGAAAGACTCCCTATGAAAGAACCTTCGGAAAGAAGTGGAGGACTCCTTTGGTGAGCTTCGGCGAACACATTTTGTTCAGGCCAAGGCCACCACGAGATGGTCGACGACGCGATCTTGCGCCAAGAGTTTCAATGGGGATGTATGTTGGCACAGGGTTGGTAACAATGACGTCTTCGTCATGACTGTGGGGGGAATAGTGAAAGGCAACACTATCACCCGAAGATCTCTTGAAGACCAGCTCAAGTATGACAACTGGAGTGAACTCCGCAGAGTTCCCCAATCACGCGAGCCTGGCGAGGTTCGAGTTGGCCTGCCAGTCATTGCGGGGCCATGAGAAGGCCACCAGCAGAGGAGGTGATTCCAAGGAATCTCTATGTGATGAAGAGCGACATCGACAAGTTTGGTCACACCCCACTGTGTCCAGGTTGTGAGGCACAGTTGATGGGAACGGGTCGCAGGGCCCACAACCCAGAGCGCAGGTTAAGGATTGAGAGCGAGCTCATGAAGACCGAAGAAGGAGAACAGGCGATTGAGGCTGCAAAGGCGGATTGATGCTGGGCGCCACCCTAAGGCTCCAAGAGTTGGAGGCGGGGCTGGCGAGCCGGAGGTTGTGGAAGCTGCCAACGTTCCTGCGTTGGTAGGCGTTCCAGAGCCTGATGTCTGAAATGGCCTCGTTGGGGCAAGCTGTTGAGCCACTCGTCGAACGAGTTGCACGTCGTGATCTCGAAGATCGAGGAGACGATCCCGGAAGCCCAAAGAAGAAGCAAAAGTCTGGCGCTCGTCAGGCAAAGAGAGGCCCGGAAGCAGACATTGAGGAGCTGCATCATCAGATGCAGGATGAAGCAGTTGCAGGCGCAGTTGTAGATGAAGAAGGGGCAGTGGTGATGGGGCCACTCCCATCGGCTGGAAGCCACCAAGAGTTTCAGTCGCAGCTCCAGAAGCTTCATCTGGAGGCAGCGGCGCCATGGATCTAGGACATCTCTTTCCTTTTGTTTGTGTTTTGTTTTGAGAGACGCCCAAAAGAAGGGCAACGTACAGAAGACTGTTGATCTTTTCACCGCCAAGAGTTTCAGCACAAGCCCACGTGGTCGGATTGCGTCCTGGATTCGCAATTCACCTGGAGACCAAGCGAGAAGACGGAAGTCATTGGGGCTTGAGCAAGGGTTCTCACGTTAGAAAGAGAAACCCAAGCCTTTAGGTGGTTCACCTCCATGTGGACCGTTTTAAGCTCCAGAACTAGTTTCGTCGACATTCGGAATCATGTTCCTCAGTCGGTCAGGTCACAAAGGTTGCAAGAATGCAAGCAGCGTCTGCGAACTTCAGTGCGCGCTTACCGTGCACAGATGGACGCAGGCCGCTACTTTTTGGAGCGCGCAGTTGGGAAGAGCCACGCGTGCCACGCAGTCATCAAAGAACTTCGAGGCGATCCACGTGTCTATGAGGTCATTGGACCTATGCGCAGGTGGAAAATGGAATCAGAAGACGTGCGGGGCAAGGGCCTAGTGAAGAAAGAGACCAGGTGGCTGACAAACTCGCCGCACTTGGCGAAGGCGCTATCTGGCGTATGGTGAAGGTAAGACTTGGCATCGACGCGTCAACCTCATCAACGGTCGGGCGAGTTCAACCAGTTTTTGAATTCGCTAGGCGCTGAACCGGTGCCAGATGCCGCCCCAGTCATAGATGAAGAGCAAGAGGTCTTTGACGACCTTCCTTCGCTGGCGCGACAGTCACGGGACCAGTCTACGACACCAACACTGGTACAGAGTTGGACTTGGAGAAAGTGGCCGCCGCTAGGAAGGAGGAGCTACAGAATGGGTTCAACGCCAGTGCATCTACAAGAAGGTGGATGGAAGGGCCTTCCAATCACAATGAAATGGGTTGACCGCAACAAGGGCGACAGCGAGAGACCCAACTACAGATCTCGTCTTGTTTGTCGCGAAATCAAGAGAGCCCACAATGCAGAGTACGTTCCAGAGTACGCAAGCTTCAGTGCAATGCCACCTCTGGAAGCCTTAAAGATTTTCCAAGCGTAGCCGCAAGCCGTTGAAGGTTCGGCTGATTGACATCAGCAGGGCCCATTTTTACGGTCAAGCACAGCGTGAAGTTTTTGCCACCCTCCCCGAAGGTGATCAGGAAGAAGGCAAGGTAAGACTGTTGTTGAAGAGCGTGTATGGCACGCGCGATGCAACAATCCTATACAGAAGAAGACCCGCTGCTTGGCCAGCCATCTCCTTGCGCGAGAAGTTGGAGGCGCGGCTGTTAGTCCACGGTGACGACTTTGTCATCCTGGGCGACGCAGCGCAGCAGCATGTCGAAAGGGCATTACAAGCAGAGTACGATCTCCGCGTCGACGGAAGCATAGATGTTGGAGAAGCCAAACAGGAGTTTTGCAGCCTGAACCGTCTCGTACGCTTCGACGAGCGGACAGGAACCATCTTCTACGAGCCAGGTCCACGCCATGCAGAGACAGCAGAAGCATTGGCGAATCACCGGATCAGCCAACGCGATTCTCTCACAATGCGCGCAGCGTTCCTAGCTCAGGAGCGCCCCGATTTGTCGGAGACGGCGAAGCGTTTGGCGAGGAAAATGCAAGGTCCAACTTGAAGGGAACAATGCGCATGGTGCAGAAGTTTACTCCGCAGAAGTTCAGCGATGTTGTTTCAGCTCACGCAGACTCGGATTTTGCTGGATGTCTCTTGACTCGCAAGAGTACAACGGGCCTGGTATGTTACTATGGGCGACACTCACTTCGCCACTCTCGTAACCTCCAGTCCGCTGTGAGCTTGTCATCGGGCGAGAGCGAGTGTTACGCGTTGGTGAAAGCTGTAGCTTCAGGCATGGCGACCCAAGGGCTACTCAAGAGTTGGAGTTGGGGCATCACCACGTGTACACCGACTCGTCCGCAGCACTCGGAACATGCAACCGTCTTGAACTTGGGAAATCGAGACACATCCAGACTCGATTCCTCTTGGTTCAAGAGAAGTTGGCAGAAAGAGCTTTTGAACTGTTCAAGATCGACACGAAGTTGAACACAGCTGACATTTGCACAAAAGCGCTGGCCAGTGAAGCTGTAGAACGCCGTTTGAAGGCGATGGCCGATGGGTTTTGAAGCACTTTCAGGGCGATCTTCGATAGCGAAAGCTGTCACATGATTGTCAGTAGTGCGCAAAGTAGTCCCAAAGTGGACGCTAGCTCGAATCACCTAACGTCCGGGTCGGGTGATTTGGGACACAGACCTTCATAAACATGAGCGGTACCTTGACTACTTTTGGCTCAAGATAAATAGGAGCGCGCTACTTTCTGTTCAGACAAACATTGTCAATGTGAGGCACACTGCATGGACCTTGGCCAGACTGCATTCATTTGTTGAGCTGTGAACTCTTAAGGTTTTCCATCTATAGGGCACGTTTCGTCGTTGATGCTTCCAGAGGTTTTTCCGCAGCTTTGAATGGTGTGAGAAGTGTAGAAAGTCCGATTGTTTTAAGGTGGAAAGAGGCCAACTCAGCTCAGGGTATCCACACACCAATAGCTGTATGTGACCATTCCAGTCCTCACTTTTCAGACCCCCATCCCTAACTAAGAACAATGTATGTGTGTGTTTACAAACAATTTTCAGCAGGTTTGGGGTCTTGAAGGTCTCCAACTTCGTGATATATTGACAGGAGGGAGCTTTTCGTCAGCCGTTTGCTTTCGGTAAATCAAGCAGAGGCCGCGTAGGTTCGAGATGCAACATATCAGATGTGTCAGAACGTCTGTATGTGTTTTTCGATTGTTTTCCCTTGTTCTTTCTTGGTCTGGAGGCTCTTCTGGCTTTGTGAAGACCTCTTTCTTCGTCTCGGCGTTGCTCCGCACCATCTTCGCAGCTCTGACAGTGCCGACCACCGAGTCGGTCTCCAGCTTGGTCAACTTCCGTGCCTCAGCCGAAACTGTCCAGATGGCACACCTTTCAGAGGTCACCAGATGTTTTGTTTAAATTATACAAGCATAGACCCCAAACAGCTTCAAAACGATTCGTTTAGACCAATATTAGTCAAAAATTGGTTTCTTGGCACGCCCTACTTTCACCCCAAGAGCAAACTGCTTCATCAATGAATTTTTGTCGGCATTGACATCGCTACTTGTTCGGCCACACTCCTCTCCAGTAAGCCGGGCCACAGAGACCAGCCAGGGGCGCGGCCAAGACAAGACCCAGACACAGAGCCCAGCCACAGAGATCAGGGGCGCGGCCAAGACAAGGACAAGAGGAGGACAAGAAGAGGACAAGGCCCAGCCACAGAGCCCAGCACAGAGGACAAGAGGAGGACAAGAGCCCAGTAAGCTGTCCAGCGCGCGCGCGCTCGCCTTTCTTTCTTTCTTTCTTTCTTTCTTTCTTTCTTTCTTTCTTTCTTTCTCTCTCTGTCTCTCTCTCTCTCTCTCTCCCTCTCTCTCTCTCGCTCGTTAAGTGTTTCTTTCTCTGTCTTTCTCTCTGCACAGGGCGCTCTGAGCGCGCCTTTCTGGAGCGTATGTCAGAGCGCGCGCGCCACAGAGCCCAGCCAAACAGCCCAGCCACAGAGTTGACAGAGTTCAGGGGCGCGGCCAAGAGGAGAGAGTTCAGGGGCGCGGCCAAGAGAAGGACAAGAGGGCAAGGCCTGGCTGAGAGGAGGACAAGAGGAGGACAAGGCCTGGACACACAGCCCAGCCACAGGGCCCAGCCACAGAGTTGACAGAGTTCAGGGGCGCGGCCGAGAGGACAAGATCAGCCACAGAGTTGAGAGGACAAGGCCTGGACACAGAGCCCAGCCACAGAGTTGACAGAGTTCAGGGGCGCGGCCAAGAGGAGGACAAGAGGAGGACAAGGCCCAGCCAGAGGGCCCAGCCACAGAGTTGACAGAGTTCAGGGGCGCGGCCAAGAGGATGATAAGAGGAGGACAAGGCCCAGCCACAGAGCCCAGCCACAGAGTTGACAGAGTTCAGGGCGCGGCCAAGAGGAGGACAAGAGGAGGACAAGGCCCAGCAACAGAGCCCAGCCACAGAGCCCACAGAGTTGACAGAGTTCTCTTTTCTTTTCAAGATAGAACCCCAACAGTAAACTGCTTGGTGAATTATACAAGCATAGACCCCAAACAGCTTTAAAACGATTCGTTTAGACCAATAATAATCAAAAATCGGTTTCTTGGTACGCCCTACTTTCACCCCAAGAGTAAATTGCTTCTTCAATGAATTTTTGCCGGCATTGACATCGCTTATTGTTCGGCCACACTCCTCTCCAGTAAGCCGGGCCACAGAGACCAGCCACAGAGTTCAGGGGCGCGGCCAAGACAAGGACAAGAGGAGGACAAGAAGAGGACAAGGCCCAGCCACAGAGCCCAGCACAGAGGACAAGAGGAGGCCAAGAGCCCACTAAGCCGTCCATAGCACACGAGCGCTTGCTTTCTTTCTTTCTTTCTTTCTTTCTTTCTTTTTTCTCTCTCTCTCTCTCTTTCTCTTTAAGCTTATCTTTCTCTGTCTTTCTCTCTGTAGAGCACGCTCTGAGCCCAGCACGCAGCCAGCCACAGAGGTTGACAGAGTTCAGGGGCGCGGCCAAGAGAAGGACAACAGGCCTGGACACAGAGCCCAGCCACAGAGCCCACCAAGAGGAGGACAAGGCCCAGCCACAGAGCCCAGCCACAGAGTTGACAGAGTTCAGGGGCGGCCACGAGGAGGACAAGAGGAGGACAAGGCCTAGCCAGCCACAGAGTTGACAGAGTTCAGGGGCGCGGCAAGAGGAGGACAAGGCCCAGCCACAGAGCCGGCCAAGAGGAGGACAAGGCCCAGCCACAGAGTTCAGGAGCGCGGCCAGTGAGTGTGGCCAGCTCTTTTCTTTCTAAGATAGAACCCCAACAGTAAACTGCTTGGGGAAAAACTACAAAACATTTTTTGTAGAGTTTGCTTTGAACTGTAGACATCTTCAGTTTGTGTCTTGGAGTTTGGGTTTAGGCATTCCTAGGTCTTCAAGTATGTGGGAGGGAGACGGCAATGCATTTTGTAGGGAGGGCCAAAATAGTTATTTATCAGATATCCCCTTTCTGGCAGAAGCTAACCAAACCCAGGGACACTGTACCACCCAGTAACTGATTGAATTTTGTGGCACGGTTCGTTGTTCATCGTAGGCTTGCGGGACCCTGCAATGCAATTGCGGCTGATCTCTTTGCTGGAGAAGTGTGAGAGCTATTTGGATTGTCACCTTGCAGCGAAACTGCCTCTCGTTTAAGTCTTCGGGCAAAGGTGTTGCTTTGTCAATCGCCACTGAAACTACCCTGTTGAGTTTTGTCTTTCAGCCTTGATTCGACAGGAGGGTTCAAACATGCACGCAAAGAAAGGAAAAATGTTTAAAAATGTATTTTAATGTTTGCATTTTTCGCATTTGCTCTTGGATGCTCAGCTCGAATTGCCAATTGAGTTTCGTTTAAGCAGGTAGATATTCATTGCCGGAAAATTGACCACCGGTTGAACATCAACTTGCAAACATGTTTGCTGTTGTCGTAGCAACATCTAAAACTTCTGAGGATGCGGATCTTATCCATGGTTTTGCGCTTACGTCCTGATGAGTCTGCTTTGCATCCGGAGGCACCTTTGTGCAGAACCGGCTGTTGTTCATTTTCTTTCATAGAGAGGGTGATAGTCATTTGGATCCTGGTAGAATGGGTGTGAATCAACCAACGTGAACCACTATGAATTGCAAGTTTGCCACGTTAATAGTAGAAATTTGCCGGTCGTCAGAGTGGTTCCAGCAGGAGAATGAATGGCAGCACTGCGTGGGCCTTGTGATCGCAGCCGGTATGGCCGGTCGTGTGCCTCGACTGATCACATTGGCAAGGTTCCTGCAACCAGCTGCCAGAGACAAGGCAACTTTGTTGCGACTCCTGAGCGCGAGCTGTAGGGAGTTTCCTCAGTCTTTCCGTGTCAAAACTCAAAAGAACTTAGAAAGTGTTCCTGTCCACGTTCATTTTGCTACGTTAGGGATCATCTCGAACCTGGCGGCAGGTTTGGCGTATGTTCTTGTTGCCCCGACCCTTTTGAACAGTCACCCTTTTTGCTGGTCACCATTTCAGGGTAATTTGTCTAAAGATGCATGATCCACTTTTTTGTTTATCCTTTTGGGCTTATCCCATGACGTCAGCTGTTGTAACGAAAACACATGAATCTCAGATCTTGGACCCGTATGCCCAGTAGCTTACAATTGGGTCGTTTTGCATCAAGTAGATCCAAGATTTTGCTTTAGTAGAATCACCTAACTTTCCAGCTCAACGTTTCTCTAGAACCACGGATCACACCCACGACCCTTTCCTTACATTGTGGAATTACATCACGTTGGCTTCCGGGGCACCCGTTCAAGGTCATGGAGCTTTTGGAGCCTCTCTTGAAACACTTAGGACGAGGCGAGGTGGGTGTTCCAAATGCCACAGCAGAAGCCATGGGGAATAAGCAAGAACGACGACCGAGACGTAGAACATTTGTCAAAGCAACTCTCAACATCTTGAAGCAATTACAAACATGTGCCGCAACCACTGGCAGGAGGAAATACAGGGTCTTCCAGATGTCCACTTTAGTTTGGGGTCTATCCAGATTTGCAGA